TTGAGTTAAACAGCGCCTATGTCATCCTCCATTCTATCCTCTTGACTTTAGCACTGCACTTACACATAGTTCAGTGCTCAAGGAATGTGTTTAATTAGCTAATAAATGGATACATTGAGTCATTTACTTCCTAGAACAACCCTGTTATGTAGGCATCCAATCAGACTTGGGGAAGCTAAGATTCAAAGCAAGTAGCAAAGTACAGCACAAGGGAAAGAGTTAGGTCTTGACCCAAGTCAAATCGTAAATTCTGAGCCGGACTATTTCCGCTCCTGACCTCTGGCCTTGGTAAAGGGGTCGGGGAGGAGGCCGACTTAAGGGTTTCCCCGCAAGACGCGGGTCACCCCCTAGAGTCGAAGTGCTCACCTACGGAGACGAGGGTACGCCCCCTGCGCTCCCCAGTGTAGAGATCACAATCTACTGCATATGCATGAGGGGACCAAGGGAGCTGTGATTCGGGGCTGTTCAGGACGCGCCTGATCAAAAACTCTTCGGATTTGAAGAGTCCAGAGTCCGCAGATTTCGGCACACACTAATAAAAATCTTCAAATGGTCATCTGTGCAAATGTTAGGAGCGTATGAGGCGAGGGCGAGCCCCCCGAGTTTAGGTCGCTTGATCAGGCGTCTGCTGTAGGCAGCCCGATTCCAGAAGGGGTCCTCGACCGGCTCGACTAGAAGACGAAGGGGGCGGTTCCCCGGCTTCCTGCGGCGTCGGTGGCGAGCTGAGGTGGAAGCAGGTCGCGGCAGCGAAGGCGACAGCGGTGGCGGCGGCGCCATGGCGGGGCTCGCAGGTACCGTGGCGTCGGCCTCCGGGGGGCGGGATGAGAGGCCTTCATGCGACCGCGCCGCCATGTTGTCCCTTCGGGGTCACCTTAAGGCGTCGTCCGGTCTCTCTCTGGGGTTTTCCTTCCGCGCACCCTGGGGGCCGCCCCTGTCCGGTGTCACGTGATCGCGCTGTTTGGCCTCCGGGCCGGGCCTTGTGGGGGGCGGGGGGGGGGGGTACTACCTTCCCGGCCCGAGGGCGGGTCCCCGGCCTCCTGGGTTCTCGTTCTGGCCTCCAAGGTCAGCGGTCACCTGTCAGCTCCCGGAAAGGGGCAGGCAGAACCGGGGAGCGCGGGGCTGGGGGTGCGACCACCGTGTCTTCAGCCCCCGGGGACCCGTGGCAGGGGACCCAGCTTGTGAGAGATCTGTTACTCTGTCCCCACCACTTCAGTTGTTGTTTCTTCTTTTTTTTTAAATCAGAAGGGGCGTGGGGAAGAGGGGGAAGAAAAGGGTCTCCCTCCCCGGGTCCCCGCCATGCTGTCTGGGGTGATAGGTTGACGCTCTGCTTTGGGGCTTGGGTGGTTCTTCCTCTCTCTCAATTTTACACCAAGTCTGGACACCCGTTCCCTTTCCTACAATATATATGGGGAGTGGCCCTCAAGGGCAGCTGAAGGAATGGAATGCCTGGCACACTAATGGCCTGGAAAGAATGGGGGATGGGGAACAGTTGATTTTTCCTTCCCTCTTCCACAGCTTCTTTAATTTCCTTCCAGGCCTGCATGTCCCTTTTCAACGCTAAATGTTGGGACAGACTGGGGTCTATCCTAGGAAAGAAATGGTCTTTCTGTTTATAGGTATGGATCGTGTTTTATCCCTTACAGGGAACTGGTGTCTTGGGGATGGCGTCTCTTTGCCCTGCCTGACATGGTACCACCATCCCCTCAGCCTTCTGGACGGCAACACCAAAGCCAGAACCCCCTCCCCCCCAAAAGTTCCAGCTTAGTGCTAATGCCAAGTGTTAGATCTTGTTTGTTTATTTGTTTGAAATCAGAGACTAATTAATGTCACGCAAAGCTGTTCAAAGATTGCGGAGCCCTGGTGGGTTTTCAGTGACCAGATCACTTCCATAACTAAAACAGGTCTTGTTAGAATTGCTGCCAATAACAGTTTAACCTTTTGTCTGTAATCTGTTGTTTCAAAGAGGAAACTTGAAGTCTGGATTTGGTTGTGTTTTTCTGTTGTTGTTCTCTTATCTTCGAAACATATGCATTCCATTTCAAGCCTGTCACTGTGTGATATACCAAGGACCATGTGTTGCCTGCCTCTCTGATTTCCTGTTCTGGGAATGCTCTGGAATCTGGATCTTCCTGGGGAATGGGCCCCGTGGGAGGGAGAAAGGGAGAGGGGAGGTTGAGCAGGACCATAATCAGAGAAGATGGTGACATGTCTCTGGGGCTTATAGAGGAAATCAGAGGTCACCAGGGAAGAAAAGACTGTTGTGAGACTAATGTTTTGTATGTGTGTGCACGTGTAAATCTCTGGGGGTGAAACTAACTGCAAATTTAGAATCTCACTTTAGGGTGCTGGCTCCTGAGTAGATACAAGTTTGAAAATAGATGTCTAGCAAATGGCTTACAGCACACCTGCTCCCTCCTCCAGCCCACGCGTAATAAGCTGTTGCTGTCCTGCAGCTGAAGCTCAAGAAACCTGTCCTTCCATCGAAATCCAAATATTCCACAGGGAGAGGTAACGGTGTCACATAGCACCCCACACCTCTAACAGTCAGGGTACCTAAACCCCTCTGGGGTTTAACTGAAGCTGGTTAGGCTAAGAGACTAACATCCTCTGGGGGCATTGGTCCCAAGAGCCTTGCCTGCTGCTGGAGTCCCACTCAGCCATTCCAGTTCCCTCATAACTCATCTGCTCTATCCTTGGTCTCCTGGGGGCAAAGCGGGGGTGGTAGAGAAAATGTAAGGAAAGGGGGTGCTGTGGACTAAGGGCTATGCAACAAAATTGTAGTCATTTTTAACTCCTCCCATTGTTCTCTATCAGAATAAAATGTTTTAATGGTATTGCTTCTGGAAAAAAAAATTTTTAAACAAGCTAGGTTTGGATCAGACTTGTAAGCACCACATAGGAGTAGAAAGGGAACACATTCCTTCCGTCTTCTCCAGTGGACTGTGCTTCCTCTATAACTTGAGGGCTTGATGCAGGGCGGGGGGAGGGCACATTGCATATTTAAGCCACCTGTGTGAGCGCAGCCCACCAGGGCAGCCCTGGCCTGGAAGTCTGTCTTTTCATCATGCCGCACTCAGAGTCCTGCCGATGGATGGATGGAGCAAGCCCTGCAGGGGGCTTTGCCAGGATCATCTGGGAAGCCCTAGGGCTGCCACCAGCCTCCTGCTTTTTTAAAGGGGGGCCTACTGTGTCAAGAGCATCCAGACACTTCCATGCTGCCTCATCTCGTCTCCCTAAGCCCAGCTGCCTTATACCTGGGCCAAGACTAGAGCATCTGGGGCAGTGGGGCCATGAGGCACACCCCTTGAAGGCTCTGAACACATGTTGGAATACGTTCACGGTTCTCCCGGTTTAGTGTGGAAAACCACAAATACTCCCAGTCTTGAGGCTTGCCAAGATATGGGCTTCAGAAGGGAGGCGCGGACATTGCCTGCTGCTGAGTCACCCTGGGGCGTGAGGAGACCTGCCCCACCTTCAGGCTGTGGCAGGGACTGGAACCGCCCAGCCTGAGCCTCGGATCGCACATCCCCACCCCGAGCCTTGGATCGCACATCCCCACCCTGGTCCCGTTGAGTCCTGCTTTGGCAGAATGTTCCTAGCAGGTTGGGGTTCCCTGGGATCTCAGCAGTCCTTTCACAAAGGGGAACTAAAGGTAGGGCTAGGAGTGACCTGACCAGGTTCCCTGGGCTGACCAATGGCAAGGCCACTACCTGAACTGAGGTCTGCACCCTCCAGCCCCTTAATTCTCTGACCTTGAACTGAAGTTATAAGTGCCTCTGAAGGTGCTGGTGGTTGGCCTGAGAAATGCTAGGGGCTGCATTAGGGGCGGGCAACATGAGGCTCAAGGGATTGAGGTCCTTTGTGCTCCAGAAGTGTTTGTGACAGCTGTGACTAAGGGATTTAACAAAGTGGCAGAAAGATTTATGGCCCTCCAACTCACTCCCTGGATGTTGACCCGGGAACAGGTGTGTGGTGACAGGAACACATAAAGCCACAGACAAGGCTGAACAGGCGGCAGGGCCACTTGGTGGAGCAGTCAGCTGACCCCACATAAAAGAAGCCCTGACTCACTGAGGAGTGGGAGAGAGAAGTCAGGAGCTGAGCAGCCAGCCCACCTACCCACCCTGGCATGATGGCAGGGGAGAGCCCAGGGTTGGGGACCTGGTAAGCACCCTTAAAAATATGGAGGCTAAGGGTGGGAGAAGCAGAGAACCCAGTGATGGAGAGAGTGAACTGGAGAGAGGTTCCTGAGGGTTGAGGAGGCCCTGGGAGACTAGGCCGGCCTGGCAGGATGCCCGTGTCGTCCTGGTAGAGGTTATAGGGCCTGGAGGGGTGAGCTGGGCAGGGGAGGGCCACGCCACACCTTTTATCCCAGGGAAGCATGGCGTGCTGCAGTCCACGGAGTCTCAGTCAGACCTGACTGAGCGACAACACCGGCAGTGTCCAAACCTGTGTACCCCGTGCTTATTTCCTTGGGGATCCTGGATGGGTCCCCAAGACTTTGTGTTCTGAATTCTTGATTACCCTCTTGGCCCCTAGTACCCTTAGGGACGTAGGGCTCCTCCCACCTTTCCACTCCTCCTTTCCCTCCTCCCACTTTCTTCCCCCCTCCTCCCATTTTCCCCTGCATCTTTCCCTTCCTCCCATCTTTCCCCCTCCTCCTACCTTTCCCCTCCTCCCCTGTTTCCCCCCTCCCACCTTTCCCCCTCTCCCATCTTTTCCCCCTTCATTTTTGCCAAGGCCCCTATCCCAGGATGAGTGAAGCCCACCCCTTTGGTGAGGGATAAGTGATCCCTTATTTCGAGACCACAAGTGAAGATGGTTCCACCTTTTCCTGTGGGTGGTAGGGGGTGTGGTCCTTTTTCTTAGGACAGTGTTGAGATGAAACTGGGTGTGTGATTATTCCCATTTTGTTGCCTCCCCCCACCCCAAGTAGTGTACCCACCCAGACCAGTCTTAGAAGTATGTGTTGAAGCCGCAAGAAGTGACAGGAGACAAACTTTTTGGTGCGCCTCCACCGCCCCGCAGGGTCCTGGGACACTGCGAGACGGGGGAGGTACTTTTTTATTTTTTGTAGAGGCGGTCCCTGTCCTCCAGGAGCTTACAATCTAGCCGGGGAGACACAACTAATGCACAATTATACAATCATTACAATTAGCAATTACCACAATATTGAGCACAATTGCATGAGACCTGGGGGACCAAGATCAGTGAGGGGCTGGGGGCTTGGAGAAGGTGTTTTTGTAAAGATGGGATTCTTTTTCTTGTTCAGTAGGTCCAAATTGAGTGACACATTTCTTTGGGGTGGCAGTGAGGAAGAAAGGGGAATCGAGGGAGCAAAGGCAGCAAGGCTGGAATGCACGTGCCGTAGGCAAAGGACAGTGAGGGCCCTGCTCTGTCTCTTAACCCTCCTCCCTCACCCTCTGCCCTCCAGTCCTGCCACAGAGGCACGTAGTTGTCGCTTGTCTGCTGCACCGAGATTCAGGGCTTCAGCTGGTGATGTTGGAATGTCCATTCTGCTGGCTGGTGTGGTGGTCTGGATCTCTGTGGTGCGGCCTGCTGGCATGGCCATGGCTGCGGGGCTGGGATGGCGCTGTCCCGACTTGGTCCAGATCTGAATGCGTTGCCTGTGCCCAGATCTCAGGAGTCTGCTCCCCCTGTGCCCCCGTCCTCCCTCTATGCCACCCGCAGTGGGAGGGGTGCAAAGGGGTGGGGAAGGGACCTCGTGTTGTCGTCATTGTTGGTGCTGCTTCTCCGGGGGCCTACCAGCCCCTCACTGACCTTGGCAAGTGCTCCTCTGGCGAGAGGGCACAGGGGACGCCCCATTCCTGCGCGGCGCTGGCTCCCGTGCGGGTGGGATGGCACAGGGGCACCTGGGGACACGGCCGCCCAGGGGCGGGGGCTGGGGCCTCAGTTGGGGGCCCGCTGGCGGCGCTCTCCCAGCACGTGCCGTCCGGTTCTCGACACCGTGTATGCCAGCTTCTGCAGGGAGTACCTGAACACCTGTGGCGAGGGAGAGACCCAGGACCTGCCCTTAGAGGCGGGCACCCGCAGCGTGTCTGCAGCGCTGCCGGGCCCGCCCCCGCCCCGCCCCCTGCCCCGCCCGCCTGTCCAATGAGGAGAGGCGGGTGCGGGCGCAGCTTGTCCACGAGTCAGGGCAGCTGGAGCTTTTCCAACTGTGCTGAAGGCTGCATGGCCGCAAGCTGATTGGACCCACAACTTAGGTATACCTCACTTCTCGCAATGGGCTGTGTCCCTGGAGGATTTCGAAAAGCGAATCCTACCCAGTAAATGCAGCATTCCAGGAACACCTTGAAGGAAATATGCGATTCCTTTGGCAAAGGATTCCTTTAACAGGGAATTCTTCCTCCAAGGGGTGCTTTTAGGGTAGATGATTTTATGGACAAAGCGCTTTCTTCTGATTTCTTTCTTTTTACACAAAGCAATTTCATTATTTTTAAATAAAGCAAACTGTCCTTTTTCGGAAGCGCCTTTTCCCTATTTTTCCTGCAAAGAACCTTTTCCTCTAATTGCTTTCTTCAAAGCGCTTTTATTGATTCATAATTTCTGTTAGCTCCTTTGTCTAATTTTTTTCTGCAGTGCGTTTTTTATCTAATGCATTTTTTTCTGCCAAGTGCTTTTGTCTGATTCTTCCTGCAAAGCGCGATTTCTCTAATTCATTTTTTCCCGCGAATTTTTCTGATTTGTTGTATTCCTGCCTTTTGCAAAGTACTGGGTTTTTTCCCCGAGAAGTGCCTTTTTCTAACTTATTTTTTGTCCCACCCCCGCAAGTGCTGTATTTTCTAAAGGAAAATTTTTCCGCAATGCGCAATTTTTTTAAGGCAGAAAAATTTCACTATGTGAGCGGTAACGTCTCTCTTCGCAGAACAGAAGTGCCCCGCCTCCCTCCTGGGGTCGAATCTGGTGTAGCGGGATTTTCTTACCACGTTGGTCGCTAAGAGTCTCGGCGATCATCAGCCGCAGGCGCCCGCCGCGCCCCAACTCTTTGTTCCCGAGCGGGCGCACTGGGAAGGGTCTACGCAAGGAGGAGGGTGCAGGGAACGGGCGGGGGCGTGCAGTGCCGCCGCGGCACTTGGGCGGGCAGGGATCGCGGCAATTGGGGCAGGAAGGGTTGGGATGCGGCAACTGCAACGCGGGCTTGACGGTTCTGGGGGCGCGCATCGGGACCCTCTCCCACTCAGAACCCGAGCAGGCTTACCTGCAGCAGCACGCGGAAAATGTACCAGCCGATGATGAGCAATTCAGCCGACGCTGCCGCCACTGCCGCCATGGTTCCGAGACTGGTGGGTAGGTGGTTGAGAGCGAGTGCTGCCGGTTCCGAGGTCCGCTGGCCTCTCGGAGTCCGCTGTTGGGCGCACTGCTGCAACCGAGGTGGCTGCGCCTTAAATATCTGCCCGCTGCCCAAGTGCGCATGCGCGCTTGGGCGGGGGTCCGTGAGGTGGGGTAGCTGGGGGCGCTTCTCATTCGTCAGAAGAGGAAAAAAAAAATAATCCATCTGCTCTTTCCACATCGACCCCCGCCTCCTGAGTTCATCTTTGCCCCTTTCCAGAAGATTCCGCGCTGCCCGCTCTTTGAATTTTAATTTAAAATGGAGGGGAAATGTAACTCCGAGTTAGCGCATAGGGTGAAAGTAGAGGCACGCACCTCTTGTTAGCGGAACCCCTCTTTCTGACCCGAAGCCTGCAGATTCGAGCCCAGTGTCCGATCCTGCGCCATATCGCACCTTGGGCTTGGGTGGAAAATCAGGGGGACCTAAGTTAGGGATCGTCTCCCCCGCGGAGCAAAAACAGGTGCCCCTTCTAGAAGCCTTGGCTTCACAGGTCCCTTGCTCAGTATTCTTTTTCTAATACTCAATGTGTTAGAAGCCCACGTCCTCAGCTTTGCAAAAGTCCCTGCGCACGGAACCTTTTGGGGATTCCTCACATCCCGCTTCTTACGGTTGCTAGATCTGCAGCCGAGGCAGTTGTTGGGAGCCGAGCCAGGACGCTGAGCCCTAGGTAGAAAGGCGATAGTCACCAGGTGTCTACCTTGTGGGATGGGAAGTGGGCGGGATAGCGCCTTTGTGTGCGCGGAATGGATGGGATGAGCTCTCCAAAGTAGTAATCTGAAGGTGCTCTGGGATAGTTTTCTGCTGAGCGGGTTACTTCAACCTCTGCTCCCCTACCCCCAGGCCCTGGTAGGTCTTCCTCAGCCCGCGAGGTTCTTTGTACCCGTTAAGCTGGACGCCTGGAGTTTGGAGCGGGGTTTTGCTACAGCCGTGGGAGGGTAGTGGCTGCTGCGGTTCAGATAGCAGGCGCGGCAGGAAGACCGGATCGCGGTCTGCGAGCGGGGCCCTGGCGTACCAGTGGCCCGCCGCTCAAGCGCACTTCTCTCCAGCGACTGTCTGGCACAGGCGCCAACTGGCACTTGCCCCAATATGGACAGAAAATTAATTTTGATTAAAATCGCATGGAGGGCAAGTTCTATACAGTGCCGGCGGCAGATGGAGATCGCAAGTGTACTTGGACAAGTGGTCATGTTGGATGAAGTAGAAGGGTGATTTTTTTTTTTCTTTTTCTTTTCTTTTCTTTTTTTTTTTTTTTTTTTTACTATTTTGACTTTCGAAGAAGTTGGCAGATTTTGACACTGGATTATTTGAAAAAGCCAAGCTCATTCTGAGCTGCCATCTTAAACCAAAATATTCGGAGATGGCTGCAGTGGCTTCACGGAGCTTGAGAGGAACTATTGCCTGCGATCTGCCGCCGGCGGTGCGCCGCTACTTTACACCAAGCACCTGCTGTGAAAGAGACCATATGCAGAATCCTTTTCTTATTCCGCGGGGGCACAGCACGGAGCCCATGGCCGTCCGGTGGCAACCGCAGGGCGGTATTGTGAGGTCTGGGCCCCTTGAGGACGGGCCGCAGCCCCAGGAGGCGATACATGATCTCTGCTGGGCAGGACCCAGGCAAAGCCAGTCCACTGTGCCGGACCTGCCTAGAGCCCTCTGGCCGAGCCCCCCACCCCCCAGAAGGGGAGACACCCAGGACGCTTCTTCAAAGGGTGGCTTGGAGAGGAGTAGACTTCCATGGGAGGGCAGGGAGGAAAGGGCATTCACATTTGCTGTTGTTAACCATGATCCATTTTTCCAAATAAGTATACATTCTGTTCCTGTTTTTTTTTTTTTTTGTCTGTCTGTCTGTTTTGTGTCTGTTTGTCTATTGTGTTGACTTTTCTCTTCAGGATCCCTGCTGCCTTGGTGATCCCGGGCTGACAGCCAGAGAGCACAGCGGCTCAGCTCCTGGAGAGCGAGGGTTGAAGAAAGCAGAGGGCAGCCGCCCGCGCCCGCTAGCTCCTATTAGGTCGGTTCCTGCAGCGGTGCCCGGTGGCCTTGGCGAAGGCCCTGTCCGGCAGAGATCATGTATTGCCTCCAGTGGCTGCTGCCCGTCCTCCTCATCCCCAAGCCCCTCAACCCCGCCCTGTGGTTCAGCCACTCCATGTTCATGGGCTTCTACCTGCTCAGCTTCCTCTTGGAGCGGAAGCCTTGCACAATTTGTGCCTTGGTTTTCCTGGCAGCCTTGTTCCTCATCTGCTATAGCTGCTGGGGAAACTGTTTCCTGTACCACTGCTCCGATTCCCCGCTTCCAGAATCGGCGCACGACCCCGGCGTCGTGGGCACCTAACAGCCAGCCCAGTTAGCTTTCCAAGGAAGCAGAAGACGGGAGGGGAGGCATTGACATAGGTCATAAAGCATTGGAGTTTCAAATCCCGCAGTCCCGCGGGTGCCACATTCCTGACGGCGCCTTTTTGGCCTGTGATGTTTTATCCTTATAATGTGAATAATGGGCACTGACCGGTGCTTTTATCGTAGAGTCCTGTAGTCGTGGGTGGTCTTGTGGTTGTGTGTGTTCTGTCCCCATCTTGGCCCCCGGCTGGCAGGATGGCCACCCCCCTCGCCGCATTCCCGCAAGGCATCTGCACCCATCCTGGTCAACTGCCCCAGCATGACCGGGGCAGATAAAATGCCAGTCTCGTTGTCACCTCTGTCCTCCCTTCTGAGTATTACTGACTCCTCCGTCCCTCTCTTGGCTTCCTGTAAGTTCTCTTTACCCCTTTCCTTTTTGGGGGAGCACCTGTTCAAGACAGGGCTCATTTTTGCACTTATCTCGAATATAAAGAGATTGCTGACGCCCGAGAGCCTCGCTTTTTCATCTTTCTTTCCCGGCCGACAGGCTAGACAGCACTATGTCTCACCTGCTGGCCACAGATCTTCAGTGTTTTCCCCACTTCATTTTGAAGGAAGAAGTAACAGATAACATGTTGCTCTTTCATCCAGGAGTCTGGGCTCCTGCTCAGCCACCCAGCTTCGCTTCCTTTGCCCTTCCTCCTGCCTCTCAACTGTCGTGAGGAGGGGGGCCTCATTGTGTCTCCCATGCATGCGCTGCAGGATTGATGTGCAGTGTGTTTATGTAGATCTAGCAGTCCCCAGCTGAGTGAATGGGAGCGTACTTGTGTGATTCATGACAGCCAGGATCCCCTCGATAGGTGTTTGGATATTTTTTGGTGTGGTGTGCTGTGCGTGCTGCGTGTGTGTTTATGTACCTGTACAAGTACATGTTGTAAATCCCTTTTAAAGACGCTTTATCGAACGTGTTCTGATTTTGAGGTGTCACAATAGCTAGCTCGTAGGTGCCGCTACAGTGTGTATTTAGCATGGGGATTGCAGAGTGACCAGCACACTGGACTCCAAGGTGGTTCAGACGAGACAGAGGCGAGCAGTGGCCATCGCCCTCGTCCAGGAGTTTCTCCGGTCCTGCGCGTGTATAGACTGTACCTTACGAAGAATACACAGGAAGACTTTGTGACTGTCACTTGCTCTTTTCTTTTTTCTGCGCTTCAGTAAAAGTGTCGGCAAACGAGACTGTCTCCTGGCCCCTGCCCACTGGGGATCAGCATGGTTGTCCCTCCAGTCTAAAGCATCCATCTTTCTCTTGCCTGAAGCGGGAGGGAGGTGGGCCAGGCTGAGGACAGAACTGGAGGCAGTCCATCTAGGGAATGGGACCTCAAGGCCACACTTGTGGGACATTTGGACTGTTGTTCTGGAGCTTTTATTTCTGGTGTGTTCGTTGCACAGCTGTTTGAAATGTTTAATAAAGCTTTATAAACTTTACTCTGTGGTTTTATGTGGCTGCAGTCCATTTGGGTTGTGGTATTGGATTTCTAAGTTGGTGGGGGGCAGGGGGTAGCATGGAGGGGCAGAGTCCTTGGCGCCAGAGTACCTTAGCCTGAAAATTCGATCTGCTCTCTGGAGAGCAGATGGTGGGATTGGGGGTGGGGGAGCAGAGGGCAGGCCAGGCGGTGAACAGGAGGGAGCCTGAAAGTTTTCAGAGAGGAGACATGTGCGCTTCTCAGCTCCCATGGCTTCTCGCCTGAAACTGTTTCCCTCCGTAGGAGATTGGAGTAACCGATCCCTTGACAAACAACTTAAGACAGCTGGAGCTCTAATCATCAAGGATTTTTATGGTGCTGCTTTTGAAGTAAAAATAAAGTGAAACCCCTTACGGCATTTCAAGTGGAAAAATAAATAAGGCTAGCCGGCCACGCAGGGGTCTCTGGGCGATGGCTGGAAGCGCGGTTCTGTGCTGTCGATGTGCACGTGCTCCTGTGGCCGTGACCTTTAAGACAAAGCCAGGTGCCTTGTCAGGGCCATGGGGTGGGTGTCTCCATTGGCTGGGTCCCCATGGGCTGGGTGTCCACCGCTCCATCTTGTCTCCTAGAAAACATAACAGGAGCACTGCCTGTCCAAGGCACAGGACTATTGTGAGAGTTTATTGTTGTGAAAGAACTTGGGTCATTTTACCCAGATTGCTAATTTATTGCTATGAAGTACTGTGTAGTTTTCTCCTGCCCTTTTCAATCTCCTCATTGTCCGTTTATCTCTTTTTCATTCCTACTGTTGCCTATCAGCGCTTTCTCTTTTCTTGGTCAAAGCTTGCCAAAGATTTGTTCATTTTAAAGGTATTTTCAGAGAACCAAACTTATTGATTATATCTGCTGGGTGTTTTCCTTTCTGATGCTTCTGTTTTTTCTCTCTGCATTCTTTTTTTTTTTCTTCTGGGTTTCTGGATGTACTTTGTGGTTCAGCAAAGTCTTGTCAAGCTGAGGAGTCCTACACATGGAAGGGATGGTTTGTTCAGCAAACATTGAGCCCCTGTCCTGGGCTTGCTGGGGATTTCAGGGCCAAGACCCGGGCCTGACTCTCCAGGAGCTCATGACTCTAGCCTAGTGGGAAGACTTAAGAAAATAGACAACTGCAAATTCCAAAAACAAAACAAACAAGCAAAAAAGGCTTTTGTGGCCATGCTCTCCCATGGAGACACCTGGATGATAAATGAAGCCAAGATTATTGCTTATTTTGCTCTCCTCTAGAAAGCAGCTTTCTGTTGTAGGTCAGGCTCACTAAAGAGTCACAAACAGGCCTCCCTCCGAAAGATTTGTGGCCCTTTCCATCAGGGAGCCTGCAGGCCGCCCCTCCCCAGGGTGACTGCCAGATCAGCGTTCTGTCTGTCCAGCCTTGCTCTCCATCTTACTGTGGCAGCACCCAGCCCCTCCTCCTGAAATGCCTTTCAGGAAAATGAGAAGGAGATGCCTCTCCTGCAAAAGAGCAAGGTACAAGGTCTTCGAAAACCACACCCAGCAATTCTGGTGGTCTCTGTGGCTCCTAGTGTGAAATGGCTGGTACCTGGTAACCACAAGATCCCATGAGGCCTTTGTCTGGGCTTTTGTAGGAGCTGGTCCATGCCCTCGTCTGGTCCCTTTTCCTTATAAGTAAAATGTGGTTTTTGGAGCAAACACAGTCTTCCTACCCCTAACATAACAGGGAATCCTTTCTCCTAGGATCTTCGTGTCCTCCTGGATGCACTTGAGGAAGGTGACTGAGCTCTGAGGAGGTGGTATTGCCATTGCAGGGCAGCCTGCATGTGCTTTATGATTTAACCATTGTACCACGCTAGCCCAGGAGGCCTCTGTCAGGAGGCCTTCCTAGACTTCTTCCCTCTCCCTAGAGATCCACTTGCCCAGGTGACTTCACTCAGCCCTCTGTTGAGTGCTAATGTTCATGCAGACTTCCTCAATGACTGGGTTTCCGCCACCTCCCAGGGGCTTGCGTTGTTATTTAAACCAAGGTACTTAAGCCATATGGAATCCTGTACAGGACTAGGCCTTGTGGCCACACAGTGGACAAGGTGGATCGTCTCTGTCATCAGGGAGTCATCTGAGCTAAAGAGAATGACATTGGGCAGATAATCCCACAGATAAGATATAACAAGTGCCCCAAGAGGAGAGGACCTAGTGTAGGCTGGGGAGAATTGAGGTTCAGGCTGAGATCTGAAGACAAATGTGAATGTTGCAGCCATGAAATAATAAAGGAGATGTTATTTCTCACTGTCTAATCAAAGCAACTCTGGCTTATAACTAAAGAGACTGGGCTGAAAATAACAGGAAGGACCATCAGGATCTGGCTGCCCTGGAGGGCAATGTTAGGAGACACTGAGAGGGTCTAAGGTTGACATGTTGGTGGCAGGCCCACAAATTCAGTCCTGAGTGAGAAGCCTTCAGTTCCCAGCTGATGGAACCATCACAGATAAGGGTCTGCTGGGGATACGGGGTGACCCAATCACAGCAGCATTTAACTTACGATGGGATTTTTTTCAGTGGGGAACATGATAGCATTTTAGCAGTGAAAGCAGCAGAACTGGCAGGAAGGCCCCTGCTCTTTCTAGATCATCACAAATGTGGAGAAGTGGGTCCAAGGAGCCATGGTGGACAAGGAAGACAAGGCAGGGTGAAAAGCAGGCTGGGGAGGGAAGACAGAGAAAGATGAGAGAATCCCATTGAGTAGCCACAGGAAACCATCGGGGAGGGGTCATTCTTGTGTTCGGTCAGCTGGCCAAGCCAGGACCCAGGCTCCTGGCATCTAGTGCGAAGCTCAGCCTCATTCCCAATCCCCTCCCCCATCCCACCCCCAATGAGAGAAAGGGTGAGTGCTCTGGAGAGAAGGAAGAACTAAGCAGTGCTACCCTTGGCAAGCAAGGGAAGGTGATCCTGACTAAAGCCAGAAGAGGGGCAGAGTTTGGTCTGCCAGGTTCAGGGAGAGAAGTCCATATCCTGAGGAAAACTTGGGGTATAGAGTGTTC